TTATCACCTGCAAGGTATAGTATTAAATAAAGGTATTTTAAAACCTTTATTATCACCTGCAAGGTAAATTATTATTAAATAGAGGTATTTTAAAACAAATGTTATCACCTGCAAGGTAAATTATTAAATAAAGGTATTTTAAAACCTTTGTTATCACCTGCAAGGTATAGTATTAAATAAAGGTATTTTAAAACCTTTATTATCACCTGCAAGGTAAATTATTATTAAATAGGGGTATTTTAAAACGTTTGTTATCACCTGCAAGGTAAACTATTAACTAAAGGTATTTTAAAACATTTGTTATCACCTGCAAGGTAAATTATTAAATAAAGGTATTTTAAAACCTTTCTTATCACCTGCAAGGTAGAATATTAAATAAAGGTATTTTAAAACATTTATTATCACCTGCAAGGTAGAATATTAAATAAAGGTATTTTAAAACATTCGTTATCACCTGCAAGGTAGAGTATTAAATAAAGGTATTTTAAAACATTTGTTATCACCTGCAAGGTAGAATATTAAATAAAGGTATTTTAAAACATTGTTATCACCTGCAAGGTAGAGTATTAAATAAAGGTATTTTAAATCATTTGTATTTTAATTTTTATTGATTTGTATCTCAAAGAAACACCGTGAAATAATATTTTGTAAACCCAAAAACATTATGGACGTAGAAAAAACATTTATATAATTTACATCAAAATCGTACACTGCTGTTTTAAAGACAGCCTAACTTTGATGAATATCGTCTTTGGTCGTATAAAAGTTATATTTTATGAGCTAATTGTTTAATATTTTACAGATATTTTATCATGTTATCCAGCCATCTCCTTTGTTCGATATTGGTACCAGTCTTGACTGTTTCCCTTTCTTCCTGTACAGCTACAGAGATGAAAGATGACAAACCTTCTGACGATTCCATTATTCATTTCACACATAGGTAAGCTAGAATGACGATTGTTTTCGTTAACCCTCTTTAACTCCATTACCCAAAAGGAAAAAACGTATGTTTTTGAAGTACTGCAGTTTTAACTCTCACGTACTTACATACAAAGTACGGAGAATGATAACGTTGTCTGTAATTTCTAACCCCAAAAAATTCACAACTTCTCATAGATAGAAAATAAAATACGGATAGCCTGCTTTTGTGAATTTTGAACACCTTTGTAACTGAAAATATTTACAGAGAGGAGATAAAACACGGTTGATTTCATTTGATTTTACTTTTAACGTCAGATATACCATAGTCTAGAAAGCTATAATTTTTAGTCTGTAAAGTTTTTATTCTATGGTAAATATTGGGATTGACGTGAATCGAGTGGATATTAATAATTTAATGGTAAAAACAAATATTAATAATAAACATAACGGTTTCACCAGTATTAAATTCAAGCAAAGTCGACAGTTGGTAGTGCTGGAATCACTGATATTACTCCTATTTTTAAAGGGGTGATAGGATGACGGATTAGTAGACAGTTGGTAGTGATGGAATCACTGATATTACTCCTATTTTTAAAGGGGTGATTATAATAAAAGATTTGTAAAACCATCAAGTGAAACATAATTTATTTCAAAAAATCGTTATTGGTCCCTTAAAGGGAAAATTTTATTTGCTAATCTGTTAACGAGGTTGATACTTGTTATGTTGATGGTGAAAAGGGTTTACTTATAGATGAAAAAAAATCTTTTGACAAGGGGCCACACAAAATGGATTTTAAGAAGCTGGATAAGAGAAAACAAAAAGATGTTATTAATGAAGTCTAAACAACTAGACACTTGATACTTATGGAGTGTCTGAGTGGATAGTTCTTGGATCTTTCCATATTCTTATTTACATTAATGATATTAGTAGGGACATTAGTAGCATATTAATAGTTTGTGGATGACATCAAACTATTGGGTTACTGTAGTTCTTTGGAGGTACTACAGAATTACTTGGATCGATAGATTACTTGAACAGATACTTGGACAAATGACTTCTAATTATAACTAATGTGTAGCCCGTCAAAAATAACTGGGCAAGTACTACCACCCATAGTATACCCTAACCTCATATTTCATAGCTAATTGAAATAAATAAATTTTTCGAAATTAAGCTTGCCCAGTCATTTTTGACGGGCTATATGTTGGTAATAGTTAAAAAACAGTATAACATCCCATAATAGTTAAAATCCATTATAACATTACATAATAATTTTAAAAATCGTTCTATAACATCCCATAATAGTTTTAAAAAATCACTATAACATCCCATAATAGACAAAATATTACCATTAAAAACGAAGTGGTTTTCCTTGAGGGCCAATTTATGACCAGATAGACGGAGTTGCGATGGGATCACCTTTAAGTCCTACCCTTCCAAATATTTGTATATGTGATTACTAACGCCAATGGCTGGGTAATTACCCCCTTTATTACAAACCAGTATTGTATAGAAAGTACGTTGATGATACTTTTCTACTTTTTCATAACACTGATCACGTTTAAAATATCTAAACTCACAACATCCATGTATAAACTTTACATGTGAGAAAACAATCTGTTTACCGCAGGAAAACATTTACTGACTTATACACTCGTTACGACAGTTTCATACTAGACTCCCTCAAATATAACCTTCTTTTAAGTCGTCGAAACATAGCATATAGTATCTGTTCTATCTACACTCAGAAATTTATAACACATTACAAAATAATGGTTATCCCCTTAATTTCTTACACGTTATCACATGAAAAATGGTTAACAAATAAAATAGAACATACCGAATAGTCACACACTGTCTCAAACTATCCATTAGTTCTTATCATTTCTTTCATAGGCAAACAAAGTTTTAAACTCAAATATCAAATTCAAAATATAATAAAAACATATTACCCACTAATTCACCTACGTTAAGTACTTACGTCAACATTTAGAATTTAAAATATTGTTACGACAGCTGGGAGCATGCGCTGGAGTTCTAGAAAGATCAAGGAACCTGTCTAACGTCCTAGCGTTTGTTAGACGCGCGCTTTTATTGTATATAAGCGCGGCAAATAAAGCGAGAGAATTAATCGGAACTGGAGAAGCAGATAGAGAGATTGACGATAATAGACACAGTTAATCGAGTCAAGTGAGCGGTAGTGACCGTAAGTAAAGTACGTGAATCATTGTGAATTATAGCGTGTGTTTAAGTTAAAGTGACTGTGGAAATTAAGTGTATTGCAAAGTTGAATTGAGAAAGAATAAATTGGTTTTATTTAAGAAAGGACTTGTACCGCTGAAGTTTCTCGGAAAGAATTTCTACGGAAAATTAACAAACGAACACAAAGACGTAACAAGATCTTTAGAACCAAAGACACTCTACCCATTCCTCTAAACTCGTGGGTCGTATATAAATACACTAGTGGTAGTTGTAAAGCTACCTGTATTGATAAAACTACACGTCACCTACAAATACGTAAACACAGCACATGGGAATGTCGGCTAGAAGCGGATATAAGGTAACTTGTCCACCTGAGTCTTCTATCCGATTACACAGTGAGAATAACAACTACCCTATACTTCTAGAAAACTTTAAAATTCTCGACTCCAGGGCCATAGATCACAAACTCTATATTTAAGAATGCCTCTACATTATTAATGATCACCCAACATTAATAATAACATGAACTCTTTCCTGTTGTCACTAATGAAATCAATTCCAGAGTCTCAGTGTTATTAGTTGATATTTACTATTATTTTAAAGATACAGTGTTTATACTTGCTATTTAAGCCTTTCCCTATAATAGTGTTTCGTATATGCTTGTTTGTTAATTTTCGGTATAGTCACGTGACGCTGGGAACATGCGCGTTGGAGTTTCTATAAGCCTGGCAAAGAAAACCAGAGAGATAGATAATTGAGTCAAGCGAACAGTAGGCACCGTAAGTAAAGTTTGTGAATCACTGTCATTTATAGCGTGTGTTATAAAAGTTGTTAAGATTAAAGTGACTGTGGAAATTCTGTATATTACTAAAAGTTGTATCGAAAAAAAAATAAACAGGTTTAATCAAGAAAGGACTTCTATCACTGAAGTTCCTTGGAAATAATTTCTACCGGAAATTAACGAACAAGGAGATACGTAACAAATTGGTGTCAGAGAGTGGGACGGAAAAGAAAAAATAAGAAAAGATGGAAACGGGAAGTGTCAAATCAAACTACAGCTTAGCAGATTTGATGGCAGCAATACAAGAACAGCAAAAGATACAAGAAGAACGAGAAAAGAAACAAGAAAAGAGATTATAGCAGTTGTTGGAGGAAAAAGAAAAGGAACAAGAAGAGAGACAAGAGCAGTGGCAAGAAAACCTGCAACAGTGGCAGCTCGAACAGCAAAATAAACAAAAAGACAGACTACAGCAGTGGTTGGAGGAAAAAGAAAAGAAACAAGAAGAGAGAGTACAGCAGTGGTTGGAGGAGAAAGAAAATGAACAAGAAGAGAAACTACAGCAGTGATAAGAAAACCAGCACCAGTGGCAACTGGAACAAGAAAGGAAACAAGAAGTAAAAATGGAAAACATTAGTAAATTTCAAAGTGAATTAAATACATTAAAGGACGATTTACTGTCTCTTACACAGGGAGGATATATTAGCTATTGACCTAATCAGCCCCAGGCAACAGGAAGCCTCTTCCAGACACTGCAGCTAAACCCTAATGCAGACATCTTCAGTCCTGACAGAAGTCGCATTGCAGACATGCATGTTAGCAAAAGGGGGGATCTAGTATGAAGGAAGCCACAGGAATTCGATGGGAAGGCACCGTGGGAAGCATAAAGAGCACAATTTAAGCTCCTGGCAGAAATGAATGGATGGAGCACCATGGCAACGAGCCTGAAGGGACAATCACTGGAAATACTTGGACAGTTGTCAGCAGATGACAGGCACAACTATAGGGCACTGGTATCTGCCCTAGAAATCGTGTATGAAACTCAAAATCAGTCTGAAGTCTACAGGGCTATGTTTAGGACAATAGTCTGTACTAAAGGGGAGATCCTGCAAGAGCTGGCACAGGATTTGGAAAGTATGGCACATAAGTCCTACCCAACTGCACCACACGATGTCCCTAAGCTGTTGCTGAGGGATCAGTTTATAGACACCTTGGACAGTCCACAACTGAAGGTACAAGTGAAGCAAGCACACCCCTCTACTATGCAGGATGCAATGGCCAGAGCTCTTGAATTCGAATGCTACGTTAAGCCCAGCACAGGGGTACCAAGGTCATCAGGATTCAAGGCCAGAAAAGGGCAGCTTTCAGAGAGGTTTGAGGGAGTTTGCTGGCACTGTAACAAACCTGGGTACAAGAGAGCTCAATTCCGGCAACTTCAACACAGGGAAGATGCCACAGCAGGAAAGGCTGCTACCCAGAAAGGTTGTTGGAACTGTGGAGAGCAAGGACATATGAAGAGCCAGTATTAGAAAAATACTACCAATAAGTCAGCCTTGGGAAAACCAGTAGTGGTTGGTGCTGAGGGATGCCTACCAACCCCACCATGAAAGTCCCAATAGCTAGGTGTAAAATGGCAAGCACACACACAGTGTCTATGTGACAGGAAAGCTGGATGGCCAAAAGTGCAACTTTGTCATAGATTCTGTATCTCAGCAAACCCTTGTGAGTATCAAGATGCTAGATCACAAAGGAGTACCGGAAGCCATACAGAAGATCTGTGGTGTGACAGAACATTATGCAAGGCTGTGGAAACCAGTGTGGATAACTACTGAGCTCATGGGCATAAAGGACAGACACAAAGTATTGTTGCGTCAGCGGTGGTCACGTGACTAGTATCACGCCACGTCCTTCTCGAACATTCACGTCCCTTCCTTAAATGTCCGGAGACTACTAGATTGGGGTAGTCTTGTATATATAAGACCGGCCAAGAAGCAACGTAAGGTAATGTGTAATTGAACTGCGGAGAGAGAATATTGTT